TTAGTAATTGGTTCATTTCGTACAACTTCAACACCATCATCTTTATTCGATTCAACTTCACAGTGTTTACATATCATATAAAGTTGTCCAATATGATACTAAGAAAAATGAAAATATAAAATATCTAATTATATAATATAAACTTTTTGAATTTTACTTCTTCAACTGTAAATGGTAGACATATTCTGTATTCATGCAATAGCATTTTGCATATGACAAGCGATCTGACACTCTGAAAAGAATTTTTCTGTTCTTTTTTCCTTGAAAAAACACGCGAATGCTACTGATTGAGTCATCTTAGTTCAGACGATTCACCAATCAACGATGAGATAGATATTTGCTATTTACTGACCTCTTTTGTTTTTTCCTTATAGATAATAAAGATATTTATTTTTTTTCTCTTTTTTAAATATCAAAAACATTATCAGATCAACAATGAAAACACAAATCAAATAAATCGTTCCTAGAAAAAAAAAAGTTACAACGATTCTTTTATTCTAGTTTTCTTAACAATTATTTATGATAAACTCCCTAAAAAGAAGAAAAGAATACTTCGTTTTGTCGATCATATTTTTTAATCATATTATGTTTCCCATAGAGATAATCTCCTGCATGTCAAATTGTCATATTAATTGCATGAGGCACATTTAGCATTAGTGAAGCATTTTCTTTTTGTTTTCTTTATAAAAAAACATTTCCGAATAAAAATTGACGAGATACGCCCATGTATGACATTTGTTCATTGAAATTTTCTTTACATGTAAGCTATTTTCTGATGATCACACTTATTAAATATATACCATTTAATAATAAATGTCTACGTTGTTAATAGAAATAATCATTTGCTATTAAACTCATTCGAAAATTGATACTTTTTATTTTAATGATATTTATATTATACTATGCATTATAATACTTCAGTTTTAAATTCAAGAGATTTATTGAAAAATTTCTAAAAGCTGTTTTAAAAGTCATGATTAGAGGAAAAAAAAACTGTAAACAATGTCTTCATTATTAGATTATAGTTTTTCTCTGACGAAGAAATCATTTGAGTGAAAGTACCCATTATCTTTGCTATAGAATTATAATTGTTTAAATTATCCAAATCGTCACGACATTTGGCTGAATAAAATCTTAGACGAACAGTGATTTAATAAGAGATGCATGAACTTCACCTATTTCATAATCTATCATTCGATTTATTTATGTTGAAAATTTTATTCATAAAGAATATCTTCAGAATCATAATAAAAATATATAAGTAATTAAAAACGTAATGTTGTTTTAATCAATAGTGAAGTCGTATGAATTATTTTCTTATAATGAATTTTTGTATTACACCGGTCTTTTAAAATTAATAATCAAAAAGAATTAATTTTTCTTTTCTTTTCAATTAAATATAAACTTAATAAAAAACTGAATATTTTCCAAAACAACTTTATTTCTTTCAATAAAAACAGACACATAATGTCATGGACAATTTACACAGCAACAACATCTTTGAAAAAACTGCGTAATTTAATTTTACTTGTTAATACATTGTTTGCTTTCTTTTAACAGCACTTACACCTTTTCATATGTCAAGAAGGAAAAACAATATTGGTAGACATTTAAACAAAAAAAACCAAGTAACTAGTTACACACAAATAGCAAGATCATGGATAATCGAGGTTATAAACCTAGAAGCTATGGTTTTCAAAGAGAAATAAAAAGAAATAATACACGACGAATTCAACCAATTAATGATGAAGATGATGTAATTTCAACAAATATAGTTGAACGATATTCACCATCAAGTATAGCTGAATCATATTCATCAACAAATAGAGTAAGTCAATCTATACAAAAAGGAAAAAAAAATTAATATTTTCATATTTTATACAAACTATTAGTAGATAAAAATTATTCTAATTTCTATTCTATTTATTTTATTCTAGAGACCACAATCAAATGATTCATTACTTAAAACCAATGAAGATTTTCCACAACAAAAGCAAGTTTCATATAATGATGATACGTAAGATGATTAAGTTTTGTTTTTTATTTTGAATTGTTTTCATTTTTCTAATCTTAGACCTATTTTATCAACTACATCAATAACAGGCTTATTTATTGCTGGTGGAATTCTTTTAGGTATTTCTATTTTGATTGTGGTACCAACTGTACTTGCAGTTATTCTTACACGAAATCCTACAGGTATAAAACTATGAATAAAATTTTTCTATAAAGAAAAAAAAAAGAATTATTCGATAATTTTATCTTGTGTTATTCTACTATAAATTACTTGTATAATTCATATTTTATAGAATTTTATTCGAAAAAAATTCTCTGTTATTTGTTGAATAGAAGAGATATTGATATAAAAATAAATATCAATGTTTAATAGACTTTTTCTTTAGTCATAGATACTAGTGCAACATCTACTATTGCTCCTACAATTATTACTGCTTATTGGAGTTTTGATAATGATGTTAATGATTTATATGGAACATATAATGGTGCTCTTGTCAATAGTGCATCATTTTCAAACACTACTTATTTTGATTATGGTTTTAATTTAGCATTAAATGATTCAGTGAATCAATCTGTTATTATTACAAATCCATTTTTCAATTTATCTTATACAAGTTTTACTGTTGAAGCATGGATTTATGGTTATACACTTACAGGTGATCAACCCATATTTTCTCAATGTTCATGTAATTCATGTCAAGATCAATGTCTTTATTTAATTATTCGAAATCATAAAATGTATATGAGCTTTCTATTAGATGATGTTATTGGTTCAACATCATTATCGATAAATACATGGTATCATATTGCATATGTTTATGATTATTCAAGTCGAACACAATCAATTTATTTACAAGGTGTTCTTGATGGTACAAAAACATCAGCT